ATACCGAAGAAGTGTCACATGTACAGCATGTACTAGTTTTCGACTGTCAAGCCTACTGATTGTGGCATGCTGCAATGCGACGGCTTAAGGCTTATGCTCTAATAGCGTGGGGTGACGTCAAGCCAACATGACAAATCCTCAATCCCCTGATAACTTCCATAATTGTCGGAAGATTCACTCCTGTAAATTCTTCTGCTGGTCCAAATGTAATTTGATCATGCGAGGGCATATGATTCAAATCACTGGCACTTGCGCCTGAATTTAAATAAGAACTCGCCATTGATACTTGACGCCCTAGTGACGAACTGAATGAACATCCATGCGGAATTTTCACATTAATATATTATTTTCGAAATTTCTAGAATTAATTGTATAATAAAAAAATACTAGCGCACTCTGATGGAAATAAATAACAACAAACTAAACCCGATTTAAAAACCCCCGCACATAATCTTAATAAAAATAAAACTCACAATTTGAATTATTCACATGCCTAAATTAATACATTTACTTATTAAAACCAGTATTTTATTGAAAATTTTGCTGGCTAAAAAGTTATTTGCGATATATGGTTTTGCAGTCAAAATTCATTTAAATAACACATATATTTCATATAAAAAGGTGCCCATATCGCTTAATTTTACTTATATAATGAATTGGCCCTCCCTAATATATATATATATATATATATATATATATATATATATATATATATATATATGATATTCAGTTTTCAGGGCAATACATCAATTAAAAAATTTTGTATGACTTTAAAACATTTTTATTTTTTCCATACATTTCGACACATAGTTTTGTGTCATCTTCAGTGGACTCTATTTCGAAGGCACAGATAAAAATTATTAATTAAAACTAATATATAATAAGTGATATGGTATGAACTTACATGTAATTGTAATAATCTTAATTATTTCCTAATTATAATTGTTCACAATGCACAATGAAATTAAAAATGTAAAGAATGAAACCAATTCTTGTCACTTTGAATTTAACAATAATAAATTTTTTGAATGAGTTATTTTATGAAATCGTAAAATACATCCCACTATTTTGTATTCCGATGCAAGAGTGAAGCCTAAATGTGCACAAATGTGCACAACACGTGTTAGAAGCTAGGATTATTACAATTACATGTAAGTTCATACCATATCACTTAATATATATTAGTTTTAATTAATAATTTTTATCTGTGCCTTCAAAATAGAGTCCACTGAAGATGTCACAAAACTATGTGTCGAAACGTATGGAAAAAATAAAAATGTTTTAAAGTCATACAAATTTTTTAATTGATGTATTACCTAGCTTCTAACACGTGTTGTGCACATTTGTGCACATTTAGGCTTCACTCTTGCATCGGAATACAGAATAGCGGGATGTATTTCACAAATTCATAAAATAACTCATTCAAAAAATTTATTATTGTTAAATTTAAAGTGACAAGAATTGGTTTCATTCTTTACATTTTTAATTTGAAAATTTTTGTAGAAGCGTAATTTAAATAAAACAATGGACGGTGGCAATTTCGTGAAATGTCAAACGCTTTTGACAGATGATGTTCAATTACGTTTAATAGGATGTTTTACGCGAATATTATTTATTTATGATAAATTTGTAGTAAGTAGTTTTGTTTGTAGTTTTATTTATATACAAAAACGTTATTAAACGGGCTGCAAGTGTTACTAGAGACTCAAAATATAAACTTTTTTGATATGTTAATAGGAAAATGCACTTCTTGGCATATTTTTCTCAAACACGGTGCTCTGAAAGATCTCATTTGTATAATTATATACTCATTGGTATTTATAAAACATTTTCTAGGTTATATTATTTTTTATTTATCCCATTTAAGGTGGGCGATACATGTAATCGCCTTAATTTTTACCATTTTTTGAGGACTTTTTAAACTGGGAAGGAATGATTGAATCTTTTTGAACTTTTTTAGGGTTATTTATTATATATTAAAATACACAAAAAAAGTTTTTTTTTAATTTTTTTTTTTAAATGGCTGCCGTAAAAATAAATCTGCCAAGACCCTCTCGGAAAACGCCATCAATTTGCGGGCGTTCTCACTTTTCGTACGGTGATCTGAATTTAAAAAAAATAGTTTGTACGTGTTCATAAAACATATATCTTCTAGTTAAACCAAAAAAAAATAAAAAAGTCACAAAATCGTAAATTGGCACACCTTAGAAAAAAAAAGTTTGATTTTTCACCTTTTTTTCAATGGTTTTTTTGGTAAAAGGGTTAATTTTTGAAACATTTTTTGGAATGTTTGAGGTTTAACTAGAAGCTATTACTGTAAAGTAGATGTGTGCAAAATTTCATTGGAATCGGTTGAGAACTTTTTGAGTTATCACGCCCGCAAATTTCAAAAATGTCGTTTTGAGAAAAACGCGTTTAAAGTTTTGACACAGAAACAGATAAGAGTACAATAGCACTCAAGCGTCGAGTTGAGACGTGGCACTTAAATGAGTTTTTATTGTATAAATAATGATAATTTTGTTTTGAATATTTACAGGCATATTTTTGAGATGTTATTGTAACGATTTATGAAAAAAAAAATCGATTTTTTTTTCTTGTTACATGTATCGCCCCCCTTAAATTCAGAACCTAAATTTGGTATGGATCAAATGGACATTTTGTCGAATAACATTTTTCCAGTTATAATTTCTTAGAATTTATCGCAGAATAGATAGTAATATATGAAGGTCCGGGTATAAAAAGGCTCACCACCGATGTGCCAAAAATCAGTAAAGTTAAGCATTGTTTAACAACAATATTTGAAAGTAGAGGAAAAAAGATGTATAGCCAGCTACAAACTTGATTTGAAAACCATAATCTTTGAAATGGGAGAGATAAACGGTAATCTTTGAAAATCCATAATAAAAGTATTTTCTTCCGTTGGTAGTTTTAGTATTAGTTAAACCATTTTGCCACCTGCCCGTTTCAAGTTACCCCGCTTATATGGTAAAAAAGACTAGATAACAAATTTTTGAATGACATCAAAAAGCACATTTTGGACTACAATGATGAAGTAGCTTAAAACTTTTCAAAAAGCAGGTCAAAGAAGAAATACTTAATTCATTTTTTATCTCTCCTCGCAGAAATTTGAAAACTTTGTATAAGCTCAGTAGTATTATTTACAATTACACACAAAATCCAGAATCCAAAAAGAATCTGAAAAACTTGAAACGTAATCAAAAAGTCGAAAGACCAAAAAAGACTTCGATTGGATTATACCATGTTTTCTATAGAAAGTGAATAAAACTTCCAGCTTGATTGTATTGACAAAATATAGACATTCTAATGGGGTTTATTGTTTTTATAATACCTATGTATATAGCATTCGAACAACACATCCTTATACACTTTGAAGTATTAATATTTTTGATTATCTAGAAATTGTTTAAAATATACCTTGCTTAGCAGAACAACGTTGGCCGGGTCAGCTAGTATATATATATATATATATATATATATATATATATATATATAAGAAGATATAAAGAAGAGAGCCAAATATTATTAGTGGATTAGAAGAATTGGAAAAATTAATGGAGAATAATAAATTTTGGGATAATAAACAAAATATTATGGTAGACAGTTTGAATTTTACGAAGAAAACTAATATTTATAAAATATATGAAAACCATGTTAATCTTAAAAATTTATGGTTTGATGAAGGTAAACAATTTTTTGTCAATATTAATAATGAAGAGACAAGTATAATAAACAGTAGAGGATATGAGGAAATCTACACAGATGGCTCTAAAGTAGATAATAAAGTAGGATGTGCCATGATTCATGAGAAGAACGAATTTCATAAATGGATAAAACTACCAGATTTTGTCTCAGTATATACTGCGGAATTAGTAGCTATAGGAGAAGCTGTAAAATATATTAAAAACTTGAACATAAGAAGAGCAATTGTAATACCGATTGCAAAAGTTGTGTAGAAAAATTAATAAGCATAAACAAGAAAAATCTTTGTGAGGAAGCAATTTATACAGAAATTCGAAGCGAGTTAAAAAATATAAAATTGATAGGAAATGAGATAAAAATTACGTGGATCAGAGGACATAATGGAATAGAGGGAAATGAAAAGGTGGACAAATTAGCAAAAATAGCAACGAAACAAGGAGAAAAAATGGACATTATGCTGAAAAGTGATGTGAAAAACATAAGTAAAAGAAATGTAGAAGAGGAATGGCAAAAAATTTGGGATGACACCGTAAAGGGAAAAACATATAAGACTATAGAGAATAAAATTAGAAAAAAAACTTGGTTTAAAGGTCTTAAAAATGAAGATAGAAAATTTATAACTACGTTAAGTAGAATCAGATTAAACCATGGCAATTTTTCAAGTCACTTATATAAAATTGGTATTAAATCAGCTATCTGTGAATATGGAGAAGAAGACGGAAATATAGAACATATTATTATGAAATGTAGCAGATTTATAAAACAACGAGAAGAAATGCTGGACAAATATTATGATGACAAATGTATAATAAAACCAATTTCATGGATTTGCATATTAAGAAATGAAAGAAATTATAAAATATTATATGCATTTATTGTAAAATCTAAAATAGTTATATAATTTTAAATTAGTAATAAGATGTTATGTATTTATTTCTAATGTACATGTATATTCATTATGTTTGTATATGACCAAATGTTATATAACGAAGTCAAATAAAAAAAAAACTAGTTAAAAAATAATTTCTACACCGTAAACACAAGCAACACGTTATTCGAATAGTTTTTACAGCAAAATACGTTATTACAACAAAATAAACAAATGATTTTGTATGTTTTTAAAAGCATTTCCTAGAAATCTACTTGCAATCCATCTTTTTATTTTTTTATTAGAGAAAAAAACAATATTATATTTGAACATTTATTGGTATGACTATTAATAAAGTACATGCTATTCCTTGGTATTTTGATCATGTACAGTAGCAAATCTTATTATTTTGTTACAAGTGATAACCGTGATGTCCGTGGGAATGTACAGTCGGTCCAGTTTTAGAAACGACTGCATTGAAACCGTCTCTGTCGTTGGCTGCATATTTAACGGTGCCTACGGAACCATCAGGTTCAACCAATGAGTATTGACCTAAGATATAACAATAATTATTCCAAACATATAAAATATTTTTCAGGCAAAAATTTCTAATTGTATGTCACCTTCTACTACGTCACCATCACGGACTTCATGTTGTGATTTGACATCTCCGGTATAGTGATCGTTGACACCATATTGGAATGAGTATTGAGGATGAGTCTGCACAAATAAAAAAGAGTAAGTGTTAAATTATTACAGGTTTATAAATATTTCACATAATTTTTAACTTCCCGTAGGGCAAGTTATAGTAATCGCAAAAAAATCAAAAATGAAAATTTTTATATATTTTTACGTTTCAAAACCTTCTGAACATTTTGGCATACCTTAAAAAAATGGATGTATGTGTGTGTGCGTGTATATATGTGTGTGCGGATACAAATTTTCGTCGACGATTTCGGGAACACGGATGAAGCAATTTGAATAATTAAAAAAACATTCGATTCGTATTGATAAGGAAACCTGCTGATTAGCTTTTGGCGAAGGCAGGTCTAGCCGTTCCGAAGATACGGGACAAAAAGTGCCGAAAACGGTAACTCCGTTTTTAAGAGAACGGAGTGTCCGATTTTAATAATTCAAAGAACATTTTACTTGTATTGACAAGATGAAGAACTGATCAAATTTTCATGGAGGCAGGTCTAGCGGTTTCGGAGATCTAGTAAAATAAGTAAAAAAATTAGACATATGCACATCACATTATCAGATATTTTATAGAGATTTTAACAATAAGTATACATTTTGTTTACATTCCTATAGGTTCCGTACCAATGTTTATCCGTTAGACGGCGACGCGGCGCTTCGATATGTCGTCTCTATGCAGTTAGAGCAGTTCGATTGCATTGAAAAAAAGTTCAGAATTTCCAAAATAATTCAAAATACATTTTTCTTCAAAAAGTCTTTTTCAAAAAAAGTAAATTTTTGTCAAAAATTTATAGTTTCTCAAAAATCTATTTTTTTTTCATAGTAAATTTATTTCCAAAATGTTAATCTTTTTTAAAAAAAATAATTTGTGGTACGGAAAGTTCCAGCAGTTTGCCTTAAGGCCATGCGCCGCACTAGTTAACTTACGTGATGATAATCGTTTCGTGCGTAAGAGTTGTGGTGATCATAGTTCAAGCCATGTCATGTGTAAATTAATGCATGGCTGGCGTGGTTAAGGCCATGGCCAGTGTATCCATGAGCGTAATGGTTGTTGTGGTTTACTAGATTTGAGTAACTTTGGGCGCCATATCCATATCCATGTCCATAAGCAGCATAGTTTTGGTACTCATGATGCCTATATTTGTGGTGCCCATAACCGTGGTTTCCGTAATTATGATATCCAACTGGTGAGTCGTGAGACACTGTTGAGTAGCTCACAGCTGATCCTCCAAGACTATAAGCGCGAACTACTACCAATGTGACACAAAGAGATAGTAACAAGATAGTAAATTTTTGTTTTTTAATTATAGTTAAATCAATAAAATGGTTTCAAATCTTTTAAATATATTATAAACTTATATCTTCACCTTAACAAATGACATGTTTAATACTATTTAGACTGGCTATCAACTGATATTCTTTTCATGATATTCTCAACTTTTATACGAAATTTCCATGAGCCAGTCTGTTAAATAGTTCGGAACGAATGGCAAGGTCGCGATTGTTTAGCGCTAACCCCACAATAAATTCATCATGTGAATTTCTCAATGATTTTTTTTATCTATGTGTTATGGGGATTACATAATATTTCATTATCGGCATTCTCGTAAAAGACATATCTCGTATCTAACCCCAAAATTTTACGATAAATGTATCGGTATTGTTAAATCATTATACAAAATCAACATGGCATTTGTTAAGGTTAATAATTAATTTTTTTTTTTTGAAAGTCAATTTATTAAATGTTTTTTCATAAGATCAGTTTTACATTTTATAATAATATTAATATTAATTTAGGTTCTCACATTTTTTGCGTTATTGGCGGTTGTAACGGCTTATGGTCAAGGAGGATCTCTGAGATACTCCTCCGTGTTTCAAGACTCACCAGTTGGATATCATAATTACGGAAATCATGGTTATGGGCACTACAATTATAGGCACCATGGATACCAAAACTATGCTAATCACGGGCATGGTTATGGATATGGCGCCCTAAGTTACTCAAATCTAGTAAAATACAACAACCACTACGCTCATGGATACACTGGCCATGGCCTCAACCACGGCTACCATGAGTTAGTTTATGCAGGACATAGCTTAAACTATGATCACCGCAATTTTTGTGCACATAAACATGATTATCATCACGTAAGGTTAAAACTAGGTGCAAGTGGCATTTCGACTTAAGAAGAGTTTCATGAACTTTCCGATTTGTGTAAATAATAAATTTAATCAATAGATATTAAATTTTTATGCAATCTACCTATCTACAAGTCCTTTTGTTTACATGTCCAAATGTCTACCTATTAAGGTGACTACCTGTCAAAGTTACAACTTGTCAAATTTTGTAGCTGCCGCTTATCCACCAGTTTATCTGAATACTTGTCTGCGTATTTACCTGTTTACCTGCATAATAGTCTTCCTGACCACCACCTATCGTTGACCTGCCTACTATCTATCTGTCTACTTTTTTACTTGTTTACCTGTTTACTTGTCTACCTGTCCACTTTTCTACATTTCCACCTGTCTCCATGTCATATGGGTATCAATATTTGTACACGTATATAAATCAATAATAATTTATTTAGTAATGATTTGAAATTATCATTTTAATAAACAAATGTATTTTTTAACCTTTTTTTAACTCTGTAAATGATGATTCTGCGTTCGCAAAAAGTAACCAATATTTCATTTTGTGGGCTCGCCCGTAAGTAAGCGGTTAAGAGCGACAGGACCTGAATCAGAGGTCCCGGGTTCGATGCCGACTTCGAGCAGTCTGTTGTCAGGCGGCAGTGACAAAGATTTTCACTTGAAAATATAGACAGCAATATGTTTTCAAGTGAAAATAGCCCTCACCCGGCATTGTTGCACCAATAAAAATACTCGCCTTATCACAAAAATTGTAATGATAATATATCATACAGAGATGTAACAACTGATTGAGTTGCCATCTGTCAAACAGACTAGTATTAAGCCAAATCAGCACAACAGCTTATAGAACTATGAGGTTCTGAACGCTGTTCAAGAATTTAAAAAAAAATATATATATATATCATTTTGTAAACACAAGTAAAATATATTTTGAACCAGTCAAATCGGATGCTCCGTTTTCTTAAAAACATTCAATCTTAGCACATTTTTTTCTGTGTTTCCATAACTGGTAGACTTCTTAGCCAAAAACTAATCTGCAAATCTATCTAGTAATCGATCATTTTTGAATCATTTAGAACGGTTAATCTGTGATTTTCAAATATTGCAGAAAAATTTATTCTTACAAAACACATACCACACACAAACATATTGTTTGAAAAAATGCCAAAATGATTTTTTTTATATATATGTAACAATCAGAATAAAGTAAGTAATTCTATGAGTTACAGTGAAAACATAATCTAAACAAATCTATAATGTAAAGTAAATGAAAAAAAAACAATAATAATAATAATAATGATTAACTAAAAATAAATAACTAACGATAATAATAATAACAAATAAATAGAAATAATAATCATGAAATTTATAAAAAAAAAAAATAATAATAATAATAAATATAATAAAATATTAGAAAACAGTTCCATTGATCATTTAACTAATTAGTTAATTAAATAAATTAATATAAATCATATAGAAATTTCCTCTTCAGTCTTCTAGAATTAGGGATCTCGAGTAGTGCTGAAACTATATGGTTTGGGTGGGTTTCCAGTTTCAAGTGATGGTGAAGGCTATTGCTGCTAATTACATCCACAATATATGGAATGTTGAGATCATTGTGGATAGTTTGATTACTGATGAACCAGGGGGCATGTGAGTTTGTTGAGTGTAAATGAAATATGGTAGGATTTGGTCTCATTTATCTTAATGCGCCATCTTTTGGTCCATTCTTCGATATTATTTAGATGTAATTGCAATTTGGTTGAAGCAGATGTGGGGCAGATATCTGTAGATAGAACCGCAATGTTGTCAGCGAACGTGGCAGTAGTGGTATATAGAAATGTAGGAAAATCGCTGGTATATATCAATTACAAGTAAGGACCGAATACATTTCCTAGCGAAACACCCGCTTCAATTGGAATTAATGCAGACATTTCAGCATTGACACGAACTTTAAACATTCTAGAATCAAGGTATGATTTCAGGATTGCACAGTAGCCATACGGGGGAAAAGATCTGATTTTAGATAAAAGGCCCTTATGACAAATTTCATCAAACGCCTGACTTACATCAAGAAAGACAGCAGAGCAATACTGTTTCGATTCGAATGTGTTGTTGATTAAATTTACAATCCTATGGCACTGCTGTACCGTAGAGTGATGTTTTCGGAAACCAAATTGATGGTCAGGAATGATATTTGATTCCGGTATCATATCTTGCAACAGTAATCTTTCAAAAATCTTGGATGTAATGGGTAACAGGCTGATTGGTCTGTATGAAGAAACTGAGCTAGAATTTTTTCCACTTTTAGGTATCATTTTCACAATTGATATTTTGAAATAATTTGGCCAAACATTAAGTCTTAAAATAGAATTGAATATGTATGTTAAGAAAATGAAACCTTTTTTTGGCATTTCTTTTAACATTCTTGCTGATATTGAATCAATACCTGGAGCCTTTTTGTTTTGCAGTTTAGAGATTTCACTTTTTATTATTATGTATAGTTACTAGATCTTCACTTACGTCAGAGTGGTCATCAAAAGAAGTCGGATTTGGTTGAAAGACGAAGTTTAAGTATTTGGTAAAAAGTTCAGATTTTTCCTTATCGCTTATCGCGCTATCGATTGTTATTTGATTCCCAGCATAGTGGTGGAATTCTACTACATGGCTTAAGTTTGTTCTTGATAGGCCTCCAGATAGAGTTATCAAAGCGATTAAGATTGGTAATATAATTGGTAAAATTTGCATTGTTTATTTCTTTCAACCTGGCCTTAAGCCTATTGCTGAGGTTATTTAAGATGTTTTTATAGGAAGGTAAGTGGGAAGTATGCCATGTTTTTCTAGCTTTTCGCTTTTCAGCATCTAGCTTTTTTATTTCAAGAGAAGTAGATTGGTAATTCACGTCCTTCATTATAGGTGTTGCAAAAAGAGCAGCATAATGCAGAATTTTATTAAAGAAGTCAATTGCACTATCGACATTCGAGGCGTTTTTTGGTATTAATGCCATTCAAATTGCTATTAATGCCATTCAAAACAAAAAAGTCTAACAAATCGGGTTTTTTATTTGTGTCTGTAGGCCAATAAATTGGATTGCCTGTAGAAAGAGGTTTGAAGTTACATTGATGAATTGCTTCGTATAATTGTCTACCTTTAGGGTTGATCAATCTGGAGCCCAAATAAGAGTGCTTGCTGTTAAAATTGCCTCCAACGATAAATTTAGATCTTAGGGTTGAGAAAAATGCACAAAACTGCGAGCAATTTATTATATGCCGTGGTGGACAATGCACAGCCGATAATCTGACGACATATGTAGTGATAGAAGTATAGAGGCAAAGTATCGATACCGAGTACTGAAAAAAGATTCGAGGCAAAGTATCGATTCCAAAAAAGTATCGTGGCAAAAGTATCGATACTACTGAGTATCGAATATTGAGTACTTTTCACCAAAATCAAACATAAGTGCAAGAGAGATCTAAAACTTTCTACAGATCGAATTACAATATTATGATAAATTCTATTGCCTGTATTTGATGCTGTTAAGTCAGCATCATTTTCAATATTTTGAGAAGTTTAAAACAATAATTTGTCGATACTAATTTCAAATTCGATTTATATCAAAAAGAAAAATGCTCATTAATTGAAAAATAGCATCGTTTTGTGACGAAAGCATTCATTTATGAATTTAGTATCGGCTAATTTATATCATAAAGAAAAATACTAATTAATTAAAAATTGTATTGTTTTGTGATGAAAGTATTCATTTATGAATTTAGTATCGGCTAATTTAAATCACAAATTAAAAAATAGTATTATTTTGTGACAAAAGTATTCGTTTGTGAATATAGTATTGGCTAATTTATATCATAAAGAAAAATACTCATTAATTAAAAAATAGTATTGTTTTGTGACAAAAGTATTCATTTATGAATTTAGTTTCGGCTAATTTATATCACAAATTAAAAAATAGTATTGTTTTGTGACAAAAGTATTCATTTATGAATTTAATATCGGCTAATTTATATCATAAAGAAAAATACTCATTAATTAAAAAATAGTTTTGTTTTGTGACAAAAGTATTCATTTATGAATTTAGTATCGGCTAATTTATATCACAAAGATAAATACTCATTAATTAAAAAAAAGTATTGTTTTGTGACAAAAGTATTTATTTATGAATTTAGTATCGGCTAATTTATATCATAAAGAAAAATACTCATTAATTAAAAAAAGTATTGTTTTGTGACAAAAGTATTCATTTATGAATTTAGTATCGGCTAATTTATATCACAAAGAAAAATACTCATTTAAGAATCGAAATTATAATAATTTTAATGGAAATACTTAGCGATTATAAAATAGTTATTATTTTAGAAAAAACAAGTATCAGCTTTAAATATTAGAATCGGAATTATAATGATTTTAATGAAAATACTTAGCGATTATAAAATAGTATTTATTTTAGAAAAAAACAAGTATCGTTAAACATTAGAATCGGAATTATAATAATTTTAATGGAAACACTTAGCGAAAATAAAAATAGTATTTATTTTAGAAAAAACAAGTATCGGCTTTAAATATTAGAATCGGAATTATAATAATTTTAATGGAAATACTTAGCGATTATAAAATAGTATTTATTTTAGAAAAAACAAGTATCGGCTTTAAATATTAGAATCGGAATTATAATAATTTTAATGGAAATACTTAGCGATTATAAAATAGTATTTATTTTTTGAATAAATAAGTATCGGCTTTAAATATTAGAATCGGAATTATAATTATTTTAATGGAAATACTTAGTGATTATAAAGTAGTATTTATTTTAGAAAAAAAGTATCGGCTTTAAAAATTAGAATCGAAAATTGAATGTCTTAATAAATTATTTAACCAAAGTTGGTTGCGTGACAATTTCGCAGATAACAAGGTTTTTGCATACAATATACAAAATTTATTATCGTTGATAAACTGTCATGCCCTCTGCCTAAAACCTAACGTACTCATAAATCTTTATTAATTACTAACGACAAACCAACATA